TAATGTGTAATGTAAGTAGTCACATGACCAAAGGTCTGAGGTTACCTGACATTAGCTTGAGCTACTTTCAGAAAACTATTACACTGCTAGAGATGTAAGTCTGAAACCTTTGTTCTTTTATTTTCCTGTAGTTTTAATGAGGAAAAACGGAGTGAGAGAAAAATAAATCTTCAAAAGATGTTTCGTTGCCATTATCTCATCTAACCGGTGCAGCTACAAAAGATGTTCTTGATGCCTCCAGCTGGGAGTTTTTGTGGGCGTGTGTGTGGATGCATCTGTGTCATTCCAGCTGTACCTTAAGTCTCCAGAGAGGATAGGTGGAGTCGGGGTCTCTGTTGAAGAACCTGGTGGTCTTTGTCCCTGCACTCAACAGATACTCTGCCGGCAGACCCTGTGTCTGGGAGATGTACCGGATCTGCAAGACAGACGATGAAAAAATGCAGTTACATCACATGCATGATTGAACCATATTTGGCATTTAATTGGAGAGGACTGTGAATCTTTCCCTCCACAGAAAGGATAAAACTTTAAGAAGGATGTTCTTTTGGCAGTTTGAAAATCTGGGCTGACATTAACTAATCCAAACTTATCTGACTGAAATATGCACAGCACCCAAACATGACCTCCGCTCAAGAGTCGAAGATTGATTTGAGACTTGTAAATGAGACACTTTGCTAAGTTTTCAGACCCGTGAAAAAAAAAAAAAACTCAGACAAGCTTGTTCAGTGATGGAGCACAACTTGCTGAAGGTTTTCCCACTGAGCCTCATCTGACTGATAGAGAGTGGGGAACACGGCAATGTCTTGCTCTGGAGCACAGGGGCTGCGCTAATTGGACAAGTGGCTCTGTGGCATCTGTTCAGATAAACAGGGAGGCTGCGCAAGAATCATCAGGGGCTGTCAGGGGGATTACAGAAGCAGCCCAACCTCACTAGCGCACACTCACTGAGAGAAAACACACACGTAAACATAATCGCACAGCAGCACAGATTCATCGGTATGGCTAAAACCCCAACATACACAATCACGAGTTGCTCAGGGGCCAGGAGACGGCAATCATGCGTTACCTGATCGTACTCCGAGGCTCCAGGGTAGAGGGGCCATCCCAGGAAGAGCTCAGCTATCACACAGCCCAGGGACCACATGTCGATGGCCTCGCAGAATGGCAGGCCCAGGATGATCTCTGGAGCCCTGTGGATAGAGAAATCAAGGCAGTGTTGTTTAGTCCAAAACTGAGAAGAGCAGGCGTTATAATCAGACTCTGCGTTGACTGACAAAGACACAAAATGTAACGTGACACGCTTCTTTTCACACTTCCTGTAAACTCAAGGAGAGCAGCCCAGTGGAGTACGGTCAGAGGAGGATGTTATCTCTGCTGAATATGAGTGAGCTACATCGCCACATTCCCAGAGCCAAGACGATTTAATCACACAAACACACAACAAATTAGGTGCACTTCTTTTTTTTTTGCAGAAACCACAGTTCTGCAGCAAAACAAATGACTGAATTAATTTGCTGCCGCTGAAGGCTCTCATGTCGGCAGTTTCAGAGGTGGCACCGATTAGCCCTTTTTTTATAGAGCCTGTTCAAGGCGGGGATGTCGTCCCTTTATTCCGCTGTTGAAAGTTGCAAACACAGAATCATAGTCTCCATGGCGGGAGAGAAACAAACACTGATGTGCCACATGTCAAGCCTCTGATGCTCTGATTTAGAAGTCACGCATAGAGGCAGCCTTATGTTGGCTTTCTCCTTATCAAAGCAAAGCCGGAATAATGAGGGGTTTCCTGAACAGCAATATAGTGGGATCTCTGTTTAAACGCTATTGAACACCATGCAGGAGCCCGAATGAATGATCCCCATCAACCACAGTGACTGTTTAAAGGTAGAAATGTATGTTTACTGTGTTTCATGAGCCACAGCCTCAAAGCAATGTGGAAGCAATTATGCTGTGAAAAGGAAAACCAACATAAATATTCTCTTGAGCATGCAATGAGCTTCATCTGGGCTTTTAATAGGCTGCGTTTGAGGTAATAATGTCTCTGCTTGATTCCCAGACACACACAACCACACACACATACAGTGATAGACCACTTCAGACCCTTTCAATGGTAAGAGCTTAATGTCTATGATTTGATGAAAAAGAGGAAATGTTGTTTCAGTTATTTGAACAGCACTGCAGTTGCCGACAATTCCCAAATTTCATTCAACACATTTTATGTCCTGTCAGAGAGACTAATACACTTCTTTAGAACTCATGTCTCTGATGGGTTTTAAAATAACCGGGAACACAACAACTGTTCACTTACAATCCAAACCACTCTCAAAAGGACGTCATCACTTTAAGTTCCTGCTGAAATGTAGCCACTTACTTTTCCTCCAAAAACGTGTTCTCCGCTAAGTGAAACAGGCAAAGCTCTTATTCTATCTGTAACTTCAATCGAGACTCAATTGATAAAAGTAAAATCCTCCTCTATCAGTTAATTACATATTAACAGCATGACACACCGATCACTGGAGCTTAGGACTGATCTTGGAAAGTTTCTTGTTCGCGACTGAGTTCAAGATGCTGATACTGTCACCATGGTAACAAGGCCAGCACACCCCTCCTTAGCCGTGGCGGGCTCTGGCAGGGTTTTTCGGTCGCAGGGAGAGAAACAAGGGACCTGGGTTCAAGAGAGGGCAGAGACAGAAATAAAGCAAATGCCAGGGAGCGCCTGTCACAGAAGGTGGTTATTGGGGTCTCAAGGGCAGCCGGGGAGCAGACACCAAGACAACACTCTAGCAACAGTATCTTAGGGCACCACCAATACAAAGAAACCTTCGCACACAATGAACCGCAACGTCTATCATGCGTCTGCCAAAGAAGCATTGAGGAGCCTGCTAGGAGGTGATAGCAGAGAGAGCAGCAAGGTCTCCTGAAGGAAGGGAAGTGAGGAGATGGACAACAGGAGAAACGGAGTCAGCATATATCCTCTCACAGCCTGTTAGGGTGAGGGAACAATAACAGCTGCACAACTCAGGTACAGCAACACACAGATAAGCTAAAACGTCCAATAAAGTCATAAAATACTCTTCCAGCGTTTCTTTCACAGTATGACGGAGACATGCTGCTTTCAGACATATACTGGAGTCGAGATAAACTCCTGAAATTATTTGTAAAGACAAATGTCCCAGTCAGTGGCTGATGCCATTCTCTGGAGACTGGAGACCTCACCTTGTGTAAGTGGCCACTTTGGGGACATATGCCATACACGTGGAAAATGTTGAAGATATCAACTTGGAAAGACAACAAGATTCAAGAGCTTTTGTTGATAAGGGCCGACGTCAGCATTGACACGTGATCTCAGCAGTGGAATTTATACCTTATGCTGCCTCCTGCATACTCTACACCCCCCCCCCNAGCTGTGCAGCGTCCACCTCCCTCTCCCTCCTCTGCTCTGGCCTCAGCGTGCCAGCTCCTTCTGCCTACCCCCCCCCCCCCCCCCCCCCCCCCCCGTTCTTTTTTTCGAAAACAGCTTTGATGAAGAATTCAAGAGCACATGTTCATACACACACACTTAACCAGGTCAATAAGTCAAATCACTTTAACACTTTGCTTCATGATTAGTTAGTGAGGATTATGTTCTATTTATACACAAACATTATTGTTTGTGTGCTTCAACTCTTTGCTTATCACACTGTCTGTGCAGAAGTTGATAACAGAGACAGGCAACAGTGTGACACCATCACAGCAAGTGTTTTTACCTGTGCAGGATATAATGAAACCAATGCACTACTGCAGTCCTGCAGTGCATTTTAGCATCTACAACAGAATCACACATTCTTATACAAAAACAAAGTATATACCTTCTTATTTGCATGAGAGTGTGAGCTCTGCAAAACCGTATTTGACTTTAAGAAACCCAAAATATGTATGAGTCATTGCAAGTTGCAAAAAGAAGAGGCTGTTTTCACAACATGAGGCTGCTTTCTGACTCGGCTGCAAGGAAACTTCTCCCCGTCAAAATGCATGGTGGAAATGAAAGCTGCAGGAAACGCTTTCATCAGCCGGTCTTCTAGATCACCGCAATTCCAACAGACACATGCCGACCACAGGACCTTCAACTTTCCTTTTTTAACCCAGACAACGTCGAACATCAATTATTCAAATAAAAGAAAAGCTAAAGTGCAGCTGATGCAGATTGATGTCATATAAATGTGTTTTTTATAACAGCCAACATCAGCAAAACCTACTTTCATTAGAGCTCAATTAGTGCACCAGGTGTTTATCTTTAGTACACAGTTTATGCATGTGTGTCTGTAGCTGTGCAACCACATGTACTTTGCCCTTGTCTGTGATGGAGAGATTTGCTGGTGTTGATGTTATGCTTGGATCCATTTCTGCCTGAACCTTCCTGTGTTATGCTCCAGTGCTCTACTTAGGCTGTTCTCATGGCTCCTTTGCCTCTCACCGAAGGCTCCTCCAGTGTAGCGAAAGGCAGAGAGAGAGAGAGAGAGAGAGAGAGAGAGAGAGAGAGAGAGAGAGAGAAAGAGCGAGAGAGCAATGGAAGGTAGGACAGAAGAAAGAGGGAGTAACATCGTTGCTCATGATATGAAACCACAAATGCAAATGTGCCCCTACCAGCACACCGCTGCCATCGCATGCAAAGCGCCCCACAGCTGCTGCTGATGCAGGCCTTTCACTGGCAGTGATAAACAGCGTACACATCTGCGCAGCTCAAAAACCTCACTCCTTTCCTGTCCCCCTTTCCTTCCTTAAGTTGCAGAGCACAAGAGACTGACAATTCATGCAGATATGACATTAATCCTTCATCTCTCATTAGGTAAAACCAGTGTATGATATAAATCTGGGACACAAAGATTTGACCAAAGTGCCTCAATATATAAAGATACAAAGAATATTTAATTTTTTCTTCCAGTGGCTCAAAGATTGAAAAAATGCACTCTTATAATCGAGTAAGCTCCAGAATTGAGGTACTTGGATACACCATCTGAGCGTGCAACATTCAGCAGACACTGCCAATTTATCTCCCTTTAAGCTGCACCCCCCCCAACTCATCTCCAGCTGGCATGGCCACCACAGACACTACCTCTCGGAGGGTGGAGGTGAGCATCTTGCTGCACACCATCGATGTACATACAGTACATATGGTGTGCAAAACACTGGCTGGCCAAAGGTTTTTTTTCTGGATTTCAGTGGGAATCCAACTGCGAAAGAGGCCTTAGTGTTGGGGCTAGAGGCTCTGACAGCACTGGCCCTTGACAAAAGAAAGAGGGAGATTGGGATGGAGAGGGTGAGGGAGAGGGAGAGGGAGAGTGTCTGTATACTGACATCCTCCCAGCTGGCCTGGTCATTGATGAGCCCCAGTCCCCTTGGGAGCCAGAGATGGCACGGCTCATGAATGGGGCCTTTCTTCTGCCACCCCAGCCCACCCTTACACCTCAGTCCCTTCACCCACCCCCTCTGCCAGCTCGGCCAGCCCCTACACCTCACCCTGCTTTGACACCTACCCCCTCCTTGCGACCCCTCTGCCAGCAAAACCCCTTTGAAACCTCCAAAACTAGGGCGCAGAGGCCAGGCTATATAGCGCTCTCCCCTCCCTGCTCTCCTATCCGTCCTCTGCTCTGTTGAACCGTGCCTGCGCTTGGCTGGCCTGCCAGCCCACACACACGTACAAACACACATGCAGATGCACTCGCAGAGACACACACCCAGCTGACATCACAGGCTGTGTGCATGTCAGGATGTATCTATCAGGCTGACCTTCCCTTAGCTCGGCTCCAGACGGGAGACTGATGGATCCCTGGAACCCCCTCAGCATGTGAACACACACACACACACGCAGGCACGCACACACAATCTTGTCTCCATGACTTCAGAGGACATAACATTTACTTGCAATAATTCCCCTAGACTTGATGTAACCTCAACCATAACTACCACATGCCTCACTCTAATCTTAACCATAACTTCACCTTGAAATTTAACGATTTACCTTATGGGCTTTATCCCCATAATTTATCAGGACAACGTCCCCATAAGGAAGACAAGTCTCCATGATGTGAGTGTGTAAAGACATTTAGGTCCACACAACATGAGAACTACCTCGACCACACACACACATAGACACACACCACTCCATTTAAATGACTTCATCATTGGTCCTTGTGTGTGTATTACACTATGTATTATTCAATAGGCCGGCAGGCAGTTATAAGCAAAGAGCAGCATGAATACTGGAGGTAACTAAGATCTTACACTGGCTATTTTGAAAGCCCTGGCTGGGGAGAGAGATAGCTGTCCGCTGCGAACAGGAAAAAGCACTTCATGAGAAAAGGGCCTGCCATTAACTTTTTTCCTTTTCCTCCCATCTCCTCGCCTCTTCCGCTCTCTCCATCCCACGCCTTGCCCTTGCCTAATGTAAAAGGCTCGGGTTGGTGCTGTGAATGACTCCCTTTCCCCCCCTGGGGTATTTCATCTACATATTCATTCCCTCAAAGGTTCCTCCACGGCCTCTTTGAAGATGCACCATAGAGAAACACTTTTCTAGATATATTGCATGGTGGTCGGTGACTGTGAAATCAATGTGTGGAGTTACGTCCCCTGCAGTGCACCTGTGGCTCGCAGAAACCCAACCCAACACACGACACACACACACTCGTACACCTCGTAAACCACCCCACCTGGTCTCGTTTTGTCGCACAGCACACATGCCAGGCGTAAGATGCAGCAATCATATGATCGTTTAAATGTAGAGCTTGGGTGTTCCAGGTGGTTGAGGAGTGGGAATGGGGGGGGGGAGTCTGGACAAGGCAAACTTTTTCACAGAGTCCTTGAGAAATGTTGACTCACTTGCTAAGCTGGAGCGACATTAGTGCTCAAGGTCCCAAAAACAGGCCTGCCTCTCTCTTTTTTCTCTCTCTAAGAAAAATGCACAGGGAAAGCGCTGACGAGGCTGCCACTGCTTTTCCAGATCAAGTATTAAAATTCTCTGTGCGTCTGCCGATGCAAAACATGAATGAAAGTCTATGGAAGGAGAGAGGGAGTAAGGATGTTTCATACAAAGGTAGATATCAACATTCAAAGAAGGAGCCAGTGAAAGACTCATGACTCATTAGTAACTCAGCTGTCGAGAAGTTGCGATTAACTCCAATGCATCAAAGCTGACTTACATGAAATTTAGGATGCCAGATGTGTGTGCACCATTAACAGTTTATATAGATGCTAGAGCGAGGCGCGGGCCACGGTTTACTATCCGAACACGACAGGCACTGTTTTTTGCAGTCCTGACCAAACCCGATTAACGTTTTTGCAGATAACAGATGCAGTATAAAGAATAAAATTGATAGCTCAGCCACTGTGACCAAACCCAAACATCATTTAAACATTTGTGTCCTACCCATCCGGTTTCTATGGTGTATCCACTCTCTAGTCACCACTTCCTTCCTCCACTGACATCTTGCGCCGATGATGTCCTTTGGAGCCAGAGTCTGCACAGTAGCGATGAGGGGATGGAGCCATGGTATTGAGGTCCCACCGGTACACATGCTCAACTTACTAATTAGCTCAAAGCTGAAATAATAATGAAAAACCAAACTTATTGGAAAAAAAATGTAACTTGAACATACATCCATGTGATAATGACAGACACCTTATTAGAGAAAAAATGTCTTTGACTTATTAGTTTGGTCCCATCCACTAACATGGAGGAGGTAGGCCTTATGACCTATAACGCAGCCAGCCACCAGGGGGCCATTGAGATGCTTTGGCTTCACTATATGAGAGCTTTCATCTCGTTCCACTTCTCTATACAATCTATGGTGGGCGCTGATTCAACACAAATTGAAGTGCAGTTCAGCTCAGGAAACAAACTAACTTACATTTCATTTGTTCCTTCAGAGGTGCACACTGTTCCCTCCGCCAGTCTCACTACATCACATTTAACCCTGCTCCCCTCTCTGAGGCATTTTATATAATGTCAGTGGGCAGAGAGCCACCCTTGTCACTGTGGCACACATGGCACATGGCGTCCTGCCGTTGCAGCATGGCACAATCAATATTAGCTCACAGGATACGCACATTCTCACATGGCATCACCTTATGTCATTACACACAGGCTGTTTTTCAAATGACTGTGTTCACAGCGGCGTTAGATAACGTATCAGATTTACTGTTGGGTAACACAGAACATCAAACACACATTTTACTGCCCTGGCAATACATTTGCTGCCATGGTGAATTTCTCCCG